CCAGAAAAAGACACAGAGAGAAAGACACCCAGAGAAAGACACCCAGAGAAAGACACCCAGAAAAAGACACAAAAAGAAAGACACCCAGAGGAGGACATCCAAAGAAAGACACCCAGAGAAAGACACCCAGAGGAGGACACAAAGAGGAAGACAACCATAGAAAGACACCCAGAAGAAGACACCCAGAGAAAGAGACCCAGAGGAAGACACCCAGAGGAAGACAACAAGAGAAAGAGAAAGACACCTAGAGAAAAACACCCAGAGAAAGACACAATAAGAAAGACACAAAAAGAAAGACACCCAGAGAAAGACACCCAGAGGAAGACACCTAGAAGAGGACACCAGGTCATCAACTCCAGGTCAGATTTTGGCACTAAACTGTTTCAGAGTTCGTCCAAAGTGAGTTGTGGGGGTACAGGCGGTTTTTGGGGGCTCTACCCGGCTAAACTCCCCCGATACCGGGGTCTAAAGAGGCTCATACCGGGTCCGTAAACTCACCTTCACCGCGAACAACAGCCTGTCCAGCGCAATACTCGCCCTGTGCACCGCCATGTTGCCGAGCTTCTTCTTCTTCGCTTTTTTTTATGGCGGTTGGCAAACAACTTTTAGGTGCATTACCGCCACCTTCCAGAATGGAGTATGGATTTGACAATCTATTAAATTCTTCCTAACACACCCGTTTTTCTTAAAAAACTGAAAACACTCCCAAAAACCACATCCCCAGACGACCTCTGAAACAAATCCCCAATATATAATTTTATTTTATTCCTGCCTAACTCCCTATATGACCTCTCTCAACACCCCGTACTATGTTTATTAATTATTTTAAGATTACTATTCAACCCTGTGTGTCCAAATCGTATCCTAGATATAATGTTTTCTTCTTTTTTAATTCTATTACATTTTCTTACTTCTCCAACCTTTTTCTGAATAATATAATAAAACCTAGCATTCCTTCCTTTATCCCACTCTTCTTCTTCTTCTTCTGTGGCGGGGAGCAGCTTTCAGCAGCGCCCCCTCTGGCCGGAACTGGACCTACAGGTCCCCCTGAACGGACCAGGTCTTATTTATGGTCCCAGTAAACCCCTCCATCATCGGAAATCTCCTTTACCTCCCTCAGTCTTTCCCCTCCAGGTTTAAAAGCCACGCGGATCAAACCAGCCCGCATTGTAACATGTGTGTCAATCATTCTGTCCAATATCTGAGTATGTATGTAGATATACATACTTTATCCCAAAAAAATACAGATTGTATTTGTGTGTATGTATGTATGTATGTATGTATGTA